TAAAAATTTGAATTATCACAACTTTCGGGCCGAAATTGTAAGGGCCGGGGTGGTTCAGCATTTTGGAGGAAAAAATTATATTTTTTGAATAGGCTAGTTTCCCCACAATGAATATACATACATGCCATTAGATGGATCCTGAACCCCATATCCCTTTGACAGGGGGGTAGGGGCAAATATTGTAAAAATTTGAATTATCACACCTTTCGGGCCGAAATTGTAAGGGCCGGGGTGGTTCAGCATTTTGGAGGAAAAAATTATATTTTTTAATTGGCTAGTTTCCCCATAATGAATGTACATACATGTGATTAGATTGATCCTGACCCCTATATCCCTTTGAAAGGGGCGTAGGGGCAAATATTGTAAAAATTTGAATTATCACAACTTTTCGGGCCGAAGTTGTAAGGGCCGGGGTGGTTCAGCATTTTGGAGGAAAATATTAATTTTTTTTATTAGGCTAGTTTCTCCACAATGAATGTACATACATGCCATTAGATGGATCCTGACCCCCACATCCCTTTGAAAGGGGCGTTGGGGCAAATATTGAAAAATTTGAGTTATCACAACTTTCGGGCCGAAATTGTAAGGGCCGGGTGGTTCAGCATTTTGGAGGAAAATAATAAAAAAAATTATTAGGCTAGTTTCCCCACAATGAATGTACATACATGCCATTAGATGGATCCTGACCCCCACATCCCTTTGAAAGGGGCGTAGGGGCAAATATTGAAAAATTTGAGTTATCAAACCTTTCGGGCCGAAATTGTAAGGGCCGGGGTGGTTCAGCATTTTGGAGGAAAAAATTATATTTTTTGAATAGGCTAGTTTCCCCACAATGAATGTACATACATGCCATTAGATGGATCCTGACCCCCATATCCCTTTGTATGGGGCGTAGTGGTAAATATTGTAAAAATTTGAATTATCACAACTTTCGGGCCGAAATTGTAAGGGCCGGGGTGGTTCAGCATTTTGGAGGAAAAAATTATATTTTTTGAATAGGCTAGTTTCCCCACAATGAATATGCATACATGCCATTAGATGGATCCTGAACCCCATATCCCTTTGACAGGGGGGTAGGGGCAAATATTATAAAAATTTGAATTATCACACCTTTCGGGCCGAAATTGTAAGGGCCGGGGTGGTTCAGCATTTTGGAGGAAAAAATTATATTTTTTGAATAGGCTAGTTTCCCCACAATGAATGTACATACATGCCATTAGATGGATCCTGAACCCCATATCCCTTTGACAGGGGGGTAGGGGCAAATATTATAAAAATTTGAATTATCACACCTTTCGGGCCGAAATTGTAAGGGCCGGGGTGGTTCAGCATTTTGGAGGAAAAAATTATATTTTTTTAATTGGCTAGTTTCCCCATAATGAATGTACATACATGCCATTAGATGGATCCTAACCCTTATATCCCTTTGTATGGGGCGTAGTGGTAAATATTGTAAAAATTTGAATTATCACAACTTTCGGGCCGAAATTGTAAGGGCCGGGGTGGTTCAGCATTTTGGAGGAAAAAATTATATTTTTTGAATAGGCTAGTTTCCCCACAATGAATATACATACATGCCATTAGATGGATCCTGAACCCCATATCCCTTTGACAGGGGGGTAGGGGCAAATATTTTAAAAATTTGAATTATCACACCTTTCGGGCCGAAATTGTAAGGGCCGGGGTGGTTCAGCATTTTGGAGGAAAAAATTATATTTTTTGAATAGGCTAGTTTCCCCACAATGAATGTACATACATGCCATTAGATGGATCCTGAACCCCATATCCCTTTGACAGGGGGGTAGGGGCAAATATTATAAAAATTTGAATTATCACACCTTTCGGGCCGAAATTGTAAGGGCCGGGGTGGTTCAGCATTTTGGAGGAAAAAATTATATTTTTGAATAGGCTAGTTTCCCCACAATGAATGTACATACATGCCATTAGATGGATCCTGAACCCCATATCCCTTTGACAGGGGGGTAGGGGCAAATATTATAAAAATTTGAATTATCACACCTTTCGGGCCGAAATTGTAAGGGCCGGGGTGGTTCAGCATTTTGGAGGAAAAAATTATATTTTTTGAATAGGCTAGTTTCCCCACAATGAATGTACATACATGCCATTAGATGGATCCTGAACCCCATATCCCTTTGACAGGGGGGTAGGGGCAAATATTGTAAAAATTTGAATTATCACACCTTTCGGGCCGAAATTGTAAGGGCCGGGGTGGTTCAGCATTTTGGAGGAAAAAATTATATTTTTTTAATTGGCTAGTTTCCCCATAATGAATGTACATACATGTGATTAGATTGATCCTGACCCCTATATCCCTTTGAAAGGGGCGTAGGGGCAAATATTGTAAAAATTTGAATTATCACAACTTTTCAGGCTGAAGTTGTAATGGCCGGGGTGGTTCAGCATTTTGGAGGAAAATAATAAAAAAATTATTAGGCTAGTTTCCCCACAATGAATGGACATACATGCCATTAGATGGATCCTGAACCCATATCCCTTTGAAAGGGGCGTAGTTGCAAATATTGACAAATTTGAGTTATCACAACTTTCGGGCCGAAATTGTAAGGGCCGGGGTGGTTCAGCATTTTGGAGGAAAAAATTATATTTTTTGAATAGGCTAGTTTCCCCACAATGAATGTACATACATGCCATTAGATGGATCCTGACCCCCATATCCCTTTGTATGGGGCGTAGTGGTAAATATTGTAAAAATTTGAATTATCACACCTTTCGGGCCGAAATTGTAAGGGCCGGGGTGGTTCAGCATTTTGGAGGAAAAAATTATATTTTTTGAATAGGCTAGTTTCCCCACAATGAATATACATACATGCCATTAGATGGATCCTGAACCCCATATCCCTTTGACAGGGGGGTAGGGGCAAATATTATAAAAATTTGAATTATCACACCTTTCGGGCCGAAATTGTAAGGGCCGGGGTGGTTCAGCATTTTGGAGGAAAAAATTATATTTTTTGAATAGGCTAGTTTCCCCACAATGAATGTACATACATGCCATTAGATGGATCCTGATCCCCATATCCCTTTGACAGGGGGGTAGGGGCAAATATTATAAAAATTTGAATTATCACACCTTTCGGGCCGAAATTGTAAGGGCCGGGGTGGTTCAGCATTTTGGAGGAAAAAATTATATTTTTTGAATAGGCTAGTTTCCCCACAATGAATGTACATACATGCCATTAGATGGATCCTGAACCCCATATCCCTTTGACAGGGGGGTAGGGGCAAATATTATTATCACACCTTTCGGGCTGAAATTGTAAGGCCCGGGTGGTTCAGCATTTTGGAGGAAAAAATTATATTTTTTGAATAGGCTAGTTTCCCCACAATGAATGTACATACATGCCATTAGATGGATCATGACCCCCACATCCCTTTGAAAGGGGCGTATGGGCAAATATTGTAAAAATTGAATTATCACAACTTTCGGGCCGAAATTGTAAGGGCCGGGGTGGTTCAGCATTTTGGAGGAAAAAATTATATTCTTGAATAGGCTAGTTTCCCCACAATGAATATACATACATGCGATTAGATGGATCCTGACCCCCATATCCCTTTGAAAGGGGCGTAGTGGCAAATATTGAAAAATTTGAGTTATCACAACTTTCCTGCCGAAGTTGTAAGGGCCGGGGTGGTTCAGCATTTTGGAGAAAAATATTATATTTTTTGATTAGGCTAGTTTCCCCACAATGAATGTACATAAATGCAATTAGATGGATTCTAACGCCTATATCCCTTTGACAGGGGGGTAGGGGCAAATATTTTAAAAATTTGAATTATCACAACTTTTCGGGCCGAAGTTGTAAGGGCCGGGGTGGTTCAGCATACGTATGTACGTCCGTACGTCCGTCCCGTTTGACCGTTATCACAATATCTCAAGAACCATTTAAGATTTAAATTTAAGACTCGGGAATAGTATTCATCACCTTAGGAAGACGATCTGATGAGATTTTGGAGTACATAGGTGAAAGGTCACAGGTCACAGAGGTCAACTTATGAAATTCCTTGTATTGAGTTTGTTAGCGCGATATCTCAAGAACCATTTGAGATTTAAACTTCAAACTTAAGGATAGTATGTATCACCATAGGAAGACGATCTGATTAGATTTTGGAGCACGTATGTCAAAGGTCAAGGGTCACAGAGGTCAACTTATGAAATTCCATACATTGAGATTGTTATCATGATATCTCAAGAACCACTGGAGATTTAAACTTCAAACTTAGTGATATGTAGGAAAACAATCTGATTACATTTTGGAGCACGTAGGTCAAAGGTCAAGGGTCATAGAGGTCAGCTTATGAAATTCCATACATTGAGATTGTTATCATGATATCTCAAGAACCACTGGAGATGTAAAAACTTCAAACTTAAGGATAGTATATATCACCATAGGAAGACGATCTGATTAGATTTTGGAGCACGTAGGTCAATGGTCAAGGGTCACAGAGGTCAACTTATGAAATTCCATACATTGAGATTGTTATCATAATATCTCAAGAACCACTGGAGATTTAAACTTCAAACTTAATGATAGTGTGTATCACCATAGGAAGACAATCTGATTAGATTTTGGAGCACGTAGGTCAAAGGTCAAGGGTCACAGAGGTCAACTTATGAAATTCCATACATTGAGATCGTTATCGCGATATCTCAAGAACCACTGGAGAATTTTCACTTCAAACTTAATGATAGTATGTATCACCATATCATAATATCTCAAGAACCACTGGAGATTTAAACTTCAAACTTAATGATAGTGTGTATCACCATAGGAAGACAATCTGATTAGATTTTGGAGCACGTAGGTCAAAGGTCAAGGGTCACAGAGGTCAACTTATGAAATTCCATACATTGAGATTGTTATCATGATATCTCAAGAACCACTGGAGATTTAAACTCCAAACTTGTTTAAATTGCTCTATGGCGGAGGCATCATTTTCGACTGCGCGCAGTCAAAATTCCATCTAGTTTTCTTCTTCTCTTTGCAGGCACATCCCGGTGAGATTCACATTATGATGGCTGTCGTCAAATACAAGACGAAGCTAGTACGGCCAAGAGAGGGCCTCTGTTCAAACTGGATAGCATCGCTCAAGCCTGAAGGTAACAACAAAATTGTCTGAAATTTGATTCAAATATTCTGTGTTAACTCTAAAAATCCTTCTCATGAGATCTAGGAGGGCATCAATTCTGTGTTAAATGACATCAGTCATTGATTTTGAGCTTCTGACATGTTGAAACTTTAATGATTGTATTGCTTATGCTCATGTCTACAATCCTGGTGTGGTAATAGTGAGTAATACAATAAAATATACATGGTATGTGTAGAATTGCTTCCTTTTTCATTTTTTGTATTCAATATATATATATATATATATATATATATATATATATATATATAAGCAAGTTTAATGAAACTGCAATTTCTGACTGTTCTCAACTGTAGGAGCAAATGTAGATATAGGAGCTGGAAGGTTAAACTTTATTGGTACGAGTTATACAGACTGTTTCGCCAAAAGGCTCATCAGTAATTAAATACATAATACAATCATGGCGAAGTTAAAAACACTCATGTGCAGTCAGGCAAGAATACAAAAGAGACATAAATAATACTCCAGTAAGGGCGAACGCAATAATACAATAGTGGAATTAAGTGGTTTAAGGGTAAGGGGAAAGGTCATAGTGATACAGGGGGGGGTTAACCATATTCAGAGAGTAGAAACTTTCTCTTATGTTTACATGTGGAAATGAGTTCAGTTCTAGAGTTAAGGATGGTGGATTTCTCAGCAGTGATGATGTGGTACTTTTCCCATAGGCAGAGATTGCAGCGATTTGTTCTGGGTGAGTATGGTTGGGCGTGCCGGATGATTCTCCATGATATTGTGTAGGGTGTGTCGTCGTCTTTCAGCATCCAGGTGTGTTTGCTTAGCTCGGTCTGGTATCTCTTTTCTTGGTGGGTGAAGCTTGCTTTGTGAGTTGTATATCTGGCTTTGAAGAATGTGGATGTGAGTCCAATGTAGAGTTTCTCATCGTTGGGGGACACAACCTTGGCTTCATAGACAATATTTTGGTTGTACATTTTTCTGGGAGGGGGCAGTCGTCTTTCTTTCTGCAGTTGCAGGTTTCTGGGTCTCGGTTGGGGTTGTGGTTGATGACTCTATTGTTGTGGGCCTTGGTTATGGTTGCTATGTTATCCATGCAGCTGTAGCTGATCTTCAGTGTGTTCCTATTGCAGATTTTGTGTAGTTGGTGTCCCTTTGGGAAGTGCTGGTCTACGAGAGCGAGGAACCTTCTGCCAATATTCGTCTTTGCGTGCTTGCTATATGGGGGGTTGAACCAGGTTATGTTGCGTTTTCGTTTGTGGTGGTCTTTGTTATTGATGTCACTGGTCTTGGGTGTGTAGGTTAAGTTGGTGATGTGGTCGGCATCACAGAGTGCTTTTTCATACTCCAGTTTCGCCTCGTTGAATACCTCTGCGCTGCTGGAGATCGTGGATAGGCGGGTTTGTATGGAGTGCGGAATCTTCTTGGTGACGGTTGGCGGGTGGTTAGATTCTACATGGACGTACAGCTGGGTATTGCCAGGCTTCGAAAATGGTTTGTGTTCTTTGCTATTGAGATCGAACGTGACATCTAGGAAGTCTACGACGGTAGAGTTAGCACTGGTTGTCACCTGGAGGCCTATCTTTCTGAATTTCTCACATAGCTTCTTTTTTATGGTCTCTGCTGCTCTTGCTGGCTTGTGGACGATCGCTAGACCATCATCCCTGTAGAGCCCGATGTTTTCCTTTGGCACTATACTTTTGATCTCATCCAAGATGAACGAGCCTTCGAGCTCGCATGTTTCCGCGCCATCGTATGATCCCATTGTGACATCGAAAAGATCATCAGCTGTAGCCTTTTGCCAGGACATGTTACCATGGAAGAGGAGGGTGTTCTTGGCTTGGAAGATGATTTCTGCTTCGGATGGGGTTATGGTGGTGAACCTCTTGGCGAAATGGATGGCTTTTTGCAGGAGTTGTCGGTCGATGGAGGGGTAGAAGTTCACAATGTTGAAAGAGATAAACGTGGAGTTGGGTCTGGTTTCAATACCCTTGAACCAATCTATAACTGTGGTGGAATTTTTCCATTGGTTGACATTCGTAGCTGCTATCACCTCGGTGTTGATTCTTTCTAGTATTTTCTTGGAGATGATGCCGATTTCACTTTTACTTGGATTGATGAGTCTACATGTCGGGTGGCTTCGGAAGTTTTGCTTGTGATCTTTTAACGTTACATATGCGGGCTTAGGAGCTAGTACTTGCATCCTATCTGAGAGATCAAGGTTGTCGGCGATCTTTCTTGCTTCTATGTTGGTTGTGTTTTCTGATCGCTGATCTGACCTCTTGTATGCAGCTGTGACGCTGTCTTTCATCAGCTTTTCGTACTGCTGCGGGGTGACATTGTAGTAGTTACTCGTCTTGTCAGCTGGTACAAGGATGTTCTTTTCGTTTCGGATTCTGTTCACATCTTTCTTGAGTTCGTTCTGGAGGGGGGAGCTCACTCTGCGGAATTTAACCTTGGGTATTATTTGTGTCTCTTTTGTATTCTTGCCTGACTGCACATGAGTGTTTTTAACTTCGCCATGATTGAGGCTTTGAATACAAATATTTTGAAGCACACCTAAAGAGCTTAAGCCTCGGTCACAAATGCGATTACGAACTGTTACGAACGCCGTACGAACGATTTTCAGACAATGGAAAAACGGGGAGATTCGTACGAAATTATCGTTCGTACAAACCTTTGACCGTAGCATAAATGAGATGTTTTCATCTTTTTACACAGATGGTATCAGAATCCCAATTTGGACCAAGAAGGGGACCATCTCATTCCCCTCCACCGGTACTCCAGTCATCATGATAGGGCCAGGAACGGGCGTAGCCCCATTCAGGAGCTTCATCCAAGAGAGGGCAGCACATAATATTGGAGGTAAACATCTTTTCTACAGCCAGCTAATGGATTGATTTTGAAATATATGTTGTTTGTTACTTGACCAAATGTACTTATGATACTTATTTACAAATGATATAATATGTGGCTTTTAAAATTCTTTGAAATTCATAATAAATAAATTCAAATGAAGCATGCTTAATGTATTGTGTAATTCTTCTGGTATACCTAACATTCCATTTCAAATTATTTCAAGCTTGATATTCAATAGCTTGAAGTAAAAGAGAGGTTTTCCAAAACTGAAATCTATGATGCTTCCTTTTTCCTGACAGACAACTTGCTGTTCTTTGGCTGTCGGTACGAAAGCCAAGACTTTCTTTGCAAGGATGAGTGGCAGAATCTTCAAGACCAGAGTCTGCTTCAGATAGTCACAGCTTTCTCTAGAGACCAGGTTAGGAGAGACCTAAAGCATAGGATGGGGTCACGGCACTCCCTATTTTTATTTTAGTAATATGTGTCCCGAGGTTCGTTACTTGTCTGGATGACCCTCCACAGAAAAAGAAAAAAAATAGTTAGGATTCCGCAATTTACATTACACACTCTCCAATATGCACGAGAGCATTCCCTGGTTAAGAATGTTCCTTTGAAACATTTTGGCTGAAATCACTGTAAGGGATAACCAAATGGTGGAACAAGTCTTCAATTCATCAAGTTAGTAGCCCTTCTAGAACTTAAATCAGACTAAGAAAGAAGTGAAGTGACATGTTTGATATTCAAATTGAAATTCAAATTCAACTATTCTTACATCTCTTAAAAATACAATTCATGCAGAAATGAACAATTTAAGAACAAAATTATTCAGAAAATAGACAAATGATTCAAATGAGAAAAAATGTGTACACTGTAATGAAGTGGACGTGAGGGGTTGACATGTACCAAAGGCCATTGACCTGTCAAGGCTACTCCCGTATTAACACTGTCACAAATCAAAAATCTCAATGTACATGAATAAAAGAAACAAAAAATACCAACTAATATATTTGTTCATACCGTATCCATTTCCCTATTTGTTATCTCCCGTTTCTCTTCTTTCCCTTTTTTGTGTGTGTATTTTTACAGGAAGATAAGATTTATGTGCAACACAGGATAAAGGAAAGTGCTGCCATCCTGTGGTCTCTTATGAACAGGAATGACAAATCCACAAGAATCTATGTAGCAGGGTAATTAAAATGAGATGTATTCAGTTGTACCTTAGGAAGATATGTGTAGTTCTTTCTATCTTGCAATTGATAATTATTCTCTTTTCTGTTTTTCATATCGTTGTGTTGTTGTTGTTTTTTTGTAATGGCAATCAGTCAAGACCTGACTATTATCACCAAAGCCTTTCTTTTTAATATTAATTGCTTTCCTCTTTTTTCTCTCATTTTTAAATAAGAGTATCAAAAAATAGAATTAGAATATAGGCTTCTCTCTCTTTTTCTCTCATTTCCCCCCCCCTTAAAATGAAGTGAACAAGAAAAAAGATGAAAAAACCGACAAAATGTAGTTGTGTCGGTTTTGTCTGTTTCTACTTTTTCTTTAGTTTGAGTTTCTTTGAGTTTCTTTTTAAAATATTAATCTTTTGTCTGCACTTCTGTTTGTGCCTTTCTGCTGGGTGCACATTGAAGTCTCTTCCACTAATTTTCTCTCCTTCAATTGTTATTTTCTCTTTTTCTGATTATTTGTGATTCTGTGTCTTTTGTGTCATACCTCTATCTTCCATTTTCTCCTTGTCCTCTTCCCCTCTTCACTCTTTCAAGTTTATCTCCTTTTATACCAATGGTCTGTGCAAGATTGAAAACCTCTTTCAGGGAAAACCATATAGCAATATATTTGGTTTACCCTTCTCTTACATTACAGTGTTATACAATGTAAACACAATTTGTTTGTGTCTCTAAGTTGAGCTTGAGTCTTCAAAAATGAACAACACTTACACAATATGTTTCTCTGACTTTCCTGCTGACAATCAAACTAAGTTTCTATAAAAGGTCAACTCCTGACATTTGATGTGTAAAGATCCGATGCTTCAACATTTTCTCCATCGACAATTTCTCCAGGTTTTATTTCGTCAAATGTATAGTGTTTGGGATTGGGTAGGATAGGTTTAGGGTTAGGTATAGTGTGGGGTCCAAGAATGGAGTAGTCGTCCCAAGATCGAGTGTTGTACAACTGAAGGACTATACCAAGGAGTCAGTGACACAAAGACATAACTCCATTTTGGCCATTTTGAGAAAAAGTGGTTAATGTGTCACTGAGCACTTGGGTCTTAAAGATTAAAGTCTATGTTTCACTAGCCATTGACTTCAATGGGGTGTTGGGTGGAGTTAAGTCTCTGTTTTTTCTGGAAAGCCCACATTTTTCTGAACATTTTGATATCAAATACTCATTTTGGCAAAATATGGAGTTACGTCTTTTTGTCACTGAACCCTCGAAATGTAAGGATACACTTTAAAAAACAGTCAAAATATCAATACTGATGTCTTGAATTGTTCCACAGAAATGCAAAGCAGATGCCGACAGATGTGAGGGAAGCACTCTGCTCTGTGGTCCAGTCGGAAGGGAGGATGAGCGAGGAGGAGGCAGAGAGATTTATAAGCGAGATGGAACGGAGGCGACTCCTTCAGATGGAGACCTGGTCATGACAACAGACGTCATCATTTTTATGCCTCCGTTACGAAGTAGCCGGAGGCATTATGTTTTCGGGTTGTCCGTCCGTCCTTACGTCTGTACCTACGTACGTACGTCCCGTTCTCGTGATCGCATTATCTGAACAACCGATCGACGGATTCCTGCCAAACTTTGGTCATGTATGAATCTTGCAGAGCCAATGAACTGGTGTCACGAGGTCAAAGGTCACAGGGCTCATTATGTATGCAAAAACAGCTCGTGATCGCGTCATCTCAAGAACCGATGATGGATTCCTGCCAAACTTAGGTCATGTATGTTACTTGCAGAGCTGATGAACTGAGTAGATTTTGGGGTCATGAGGTCAAGGTCAAAGGTCATGCGGCTCATTATGTATGCAAAAATAGCTTGTGATCGTATTATCATTAGAACTGATTGATGGATTCCTGCCAAACTTAGATCATTTATGTATCTTGCAGAGCCAATGAACTGAGTAGATTCTTGGTTCATAAGGTCAAAGGTCAAAGGTCATGGGTTCATTATGTATGCAAAAATAGCTTGTGAACGCATTCTCATTAGAACTGACAGATGGATTACCATTTAACTCAGGACATCTTGCAGAGCCAATGAACTGAGTAGATTTTAGGGTCATGAGGTCAAATGTATATGAGAAATTGCTTGTAATCACAATATTCTGAGAACCTGTTAATGGATTGAACTTGAATTTGACAAATTTCTTCTGTTTTGGTTTGTAAAATTGCTCTATGACGGAGGCATCATTTTCGAAGTTCCATCTAGTATTTCTTGTATTTACAATGTTTGGGCTGGATGAGCCTTTACCAACAAAGGTTGATTTTCAATGGGGTCCATGAAACATTTCAAAATTATTTGCTCGGTGGTCCAGGGACCCGTTTCACAAAGCCTTTTTTCAATGACAAATTACAAAATCAGTGACAAATCTGCTGATTACCAATCAGAAGCAAGGATTTCAGTAGCTTATAACAAAAACTTTTATTCGTTACTGATGACAAAAAGTTTTGTGAAACACCCCCCAGGTCACAGAGGAGAAGATGATGTAAAGAGATTTGTAAGAAGTGGTGTGGAAGAAGTGACTCCACCTAATGGAGGCATGAGAGTATAATATAGTAGTATAGTAGTGGTGGTTATTTTACCTGACTGCTAAGAAAGCATCAATGCTTGTTAGTAAGCAACCTGAGGACCAACAGCTTTAGTTCCTCTCCGAGGGACCTGGTAGGAATCCTTGTGCTCTGGCCTTGTCAGGAGGGAGGAAGAGACACAGTAAAAGCTGGGGTAATAATATGATTGCAGGGCCCTCCGAAGAACAGTATTGGTACTCACTGATGAGGCTACCCTGGGTAAACAAGATATATTATTATTATTGTTATTGTTATTGTTGTTTAATGAATGAGACGGAGATGAAACAACTTACAGATGAAGATGGTTATGAAGATGGAGGGCATTGTATGTTCTTCTTTATCAATCCCTATTATGTTCTTATAAAAGACCAGTTGGAGAGCTTTGATTTAACTAATAAGTTGTATAGCTTTATTGAGGCTCTATGTCAGTCAGACATCTTTGTAGGCATCCCTTGTCCAAGTACTCATTGTTTCATAACATGACCTGGCATGAGTCATGGGTTGCAGGTCATTCTATATTTAGTTATACATGCTAGTCTGTATTTGCAGACTCTGTTAAACTACATGTAGCTATCACTACACCTCCCTTCTTTAAAAGAGGTTTACATATACATATATAAAACTTCTTAAACTGTACACAGAGTGACAGGGTGGACTACCTGTACACTCGCGACTGTACTAGGGCATTATTCTGTCCCTTAAAGCTGGAGTACTGTCGCTTTCAAATATATAACTTATTACGCGACAGTCCATATCTTTCGAGGTTGCGATTCGCGAAACTGGAATTCTCCGTTGAGGTTGAGTGATATCTGTTGATTTTTGTAATCAAAGTGACTGATTAAATCCGGTTATATTTTTAACGATAACATGCAAATATATATGTCATGCTCATGCAATCCTGCAGTTATGTTTTAAAGTCCAAGTTGAACTCTGTAACTATAAACTATTTACAAAACGCGAAAGTCTTTCTCTGTAGTTCGCTTTCATTTTATTTACAAGTTTAAGCGATCTGGCGGTTTAATAACTCGTCCGCTTCTGGTTCTGGTTGATGACGTAGTTGAGCTTTCTTCAGATGCTGGTTGCTCTGTAGCTTCTGCAGTGTCATCTACCTCGAAGTCATCCTGTGTTGGTAGTGGAATAGACTCGGCTTGTTGTTGACGTGGGACTGGCCTGAGGTGACGTCTGTTTCTGCGACGTATCTCTCCTGTTTCTGTCTCGATGTGGTATGATCTGTTTCGATCCTGAACAGACCTGACAATACCACGTTTCGACCAGGTGTTGGTTTTCATGTCTTGGAGCATGACATGATCTCCAGGCTTTAGCTTTGACAAGTCTCGAGCATGTTTGTCGAATCGCTCTTTTTGCTTCACCTTATGATCCTCCTTTCTTCCCCTCACTGATCGAGTATTGACCTGTTTTGGTCTGGACATTAGGCATGAAGTACAACTTAGGACCATTTCAGTGATGTCTGTGTTGATTCTGGGCCAATAGATGACTTCTCTAGCACGTTTCTTACACTTCTCGATGCCTAAGTGTCCTTCATGGATTTTGTTTAGCATGAACCTTCTCGTAGTAGTGGGAACCACTATTTTGCTGCCCTTGAAGATGATGCCATCTGCTTCAGAGAGTTCACTCCTGATGTTCCAGTATTCCCTGACTCGAACTGGACATTGCTGCTTCGTTTCCGGCCAACCATTTCTGATGATGCCTAGCAGCTCTTGCAGTTGATCATCTTTCTTTGTCTCTTCGACAATCTGATTTCGTTTGTTCGATGTAACTGGCATGCTCTTGACAATAGCATCTACGTAGACTCTGATATCTTCCTCAGTTTCAGCATTCAACTCAGCCTTTGGATCTACTGCTCTGGACAATGTATCAGCAGTATACATGTACTTTCCAGGCGTGTACAAGACCTTGAGATCATATCTCTGTACCCTGATGAGTAACCTTTGAATGCGTAGGGGACAGTCACCCAGTGACTTTACAAACAGTGGAATAAGTGGCTTGTGATCAGTCTCCACTTCTACTTGTTGTCCATAGATGTATTGATGGAATCTTTCACATGCGTATGTGATTGCCAGCAATTCTTTCTCGATCTGTGCATATCTAGTCTCTGCATCAGTCATTGATCTAGATGCATATGCGATCGGAACCCAATCTTGATCATATTGCTGTAGTAGCACTGCACCAATACCATCCTTTGATGCGTCTGCTGACAGCTTGGTTGGTTTCTTGCTGTCATAGAAATGTAGGACTGGCTCTTGTATCAGAGCTTGTTTCAGCTGATTCCATGCATCCTCTTGTGCATGATCCCATGTCCATACATTCTTTTTGTCTAGTAGATGTCTCAGTGCTGCTGACTTGGTCGACAGATCAGGAATGAACTTCCCTTGGTAATTGATCATACCCAAGAACCGTTGGACATCTTTCCGACATTTCGGTCTCTCAATGTTCAAGATAGCAGACACTTTCTTGGGATCAGGTTGAACTCCTTGATCACTGATCAAGTCACCAATGAATGTGAGCTTCTTGACATTGAACTCGCATTTGTCTTTGTTCAACTTGAGATTCATTTTTCTCACAATGCTGAGAACCTCTCTCAATCTGTCATCATGCTCCTGTTGGGTAGTTCCCCATACAATCACATCATCCATCATTGTGTTAACTCCCGGAATGTGTGCAAACAGTTGGTGCACTATCTTGTGATAGACTACCGGAGCACTACAAATACCAAAAGGTAGTCTCAAGAACTTGTACCTTCCGTATGGCGTGATAAACGTACAAAGCTTGGAGCTTTCGTCATCTAGTTGGATCTGCCAAAAACCACTAGATGCATCTAACTTGCTGAAGTATTTGGCTCCTGCAAAATGTGCAGTTATTTCAGCTCTTGATGGCAATTGATAGTGTTCTCTTTTGATTGCTCGGTTCAGGTCTCTTGGATCTAGACAGACCCTGAGCTGACCGTTCTTTTTCATCACCACCACGAGAGAAGAAACCCAATCAGTTGGCTCATCAACTCGTGTGATTACGTCCATTCGTTCCATCTTATCTAACTCGTCTTTGAGTTTATCTTTAAGTGGAAATGGAACTTTGCGACATGCATGCTGAACAGGATGTGCGTCCTCTCTCAATGTGATGTGGTGTTTACCAGGAAGACAACATAGACCTACAAACACATCTTGATAGTCTTGAACTACACTTTTACCCGTTCCGTGTTCAGTTTGTTTCTCAACATGATACACCCGTTTCACCAGATACAAGTCTTCACTCGTCCGTAATCCTAACAAAGGCTGACGATTTCCAGGAATGACTAGACACGGCACATTGCGTTTGATCCCTTTGTACTCAACTTGTACACAACAACGACCTTTGACCGGGATATCTGTCTCATAATAACCTGTCAACATCACTTTGGCTTTTTGTAGCTTTGGTTTTGGTTTCAACTTGTGAAATACTGTCTCAGGAAGAAGATTCGCCTGAGCACCAGTATCAACCTTGAAGTCAACCGGCTGGTTATTGACTAGTAGATTAACTATCCATTCATCCTTGGATTCTTTAGATTCAACAGAGCAAATCATGAAACCTTCTGAATCTACCTCCAAGTGCTGCAGTTCATTGACCTTGGCTACTGGGGTTTTACAACATTTAGCAAAATGATTCTGCTTACCGCACTTCTTGCATGTTTGACCTTGTGCGGGACATTTGTCTTTGCTATGTCGGTTTCCGCACCTGCTACATGCATCACTTTTAGTACGACCTTGAGGTTCCGACCGTTTTGACTTTGAACCAGGAAATTTCTTCTTAGTCTTGCTGAAAGAATCTACCGGAATTGAGGCGTTTTCCCCTGCGGAACTCAACGCTTGTGCCTGCGTTCGAGTTTGTTCAGCCGCACGACATACTTGCAACGTTTTAACCAATGTAAGATCATCTTGCCTCAACAAACGTTCTCTTAGACC